CTCTGTATGACCAGTGGGTGGGGCTATAATCATGTGCAGCATGAGGTGAGAAGGTGATCTGTGTGGTTGTTAAAAGTTAGTTTGGAGGTTCAGAAGTCTCTGCCAAAGGTGAAAGAGTGGTAATGCTTTTGTCTGTTTGTTTGTCTGCTGTGTTAGCGAAATATCTCACGAATGGCTGAACAGGTTTAATGAAACTCTCAGAAACGAACACAAAAACAAACACAAACATACGCAAGTAAACTTTATTTAGCAGCTTTATGGCAGCTTTCACAGAAAGAGATCACAAAGTGCTTCACAAAGAGAAAACAAACAAAAAAAGTATAATATAAACATTAAGGCGTAAGCTCAGTGATATTAAACATAGCYTTCTTCTCTTTGTTCATAAAGCAGAAGTCAACAGTGTCGCACAGAGTCACAGGGCCAGGGTGTTCRAGGCTCTTSTYTGAAAGGACAGGYCCCCTCAAGTTTGAAACCTGGTTTTAAGCACCTYCAAGAGATTTTAGCCTGAAGACTGAAGATTGCAGCCAGAAGAGTAAGGAGTCATCATTTCTGTAATATACTGAAGGGCCTGTCCACAGCTTAAAAAAAGTCAAGACTAAAATTTTAAAATTGCTTGAATGCAAAGAGCATAAAATTGGTGTGATGTGTGCCTTGCATTCTAATATAAAATAGCTTATATTATAGTTAAATTGCTTTAACTCTGTTAGTTTTCCACAGATATTTAGCTAAAATGTATAGTTGTGGTATGGCTACGAGACGAGTTCACAAGATATACAACTAACATCACATGCCATTTCTGCATAAAACTTTGGCATTAACTTTTAAATGATTACCTGTGCCATGTTAAAGGAGAAATATGCTTTAAATTTATTTTTCACATTTAAATCAGGGTCTATACAAAGTGGAACTGCAATGCTTTGGTCTGAATTTCTCATTATTGTAACTCCTCTAGCCYCTCTTTCATCCCTTTTCTGAGGTGTGTCTCAGATCAACTCGTTTTGAATACAAACGAGGAGTTTTACACACCGCCCCCTTCCAGCTTCTAGAGTGGTCCACTGCACTTTGATTGAGGGGGTTAAGGCTATAGTGGCGCAGAAACATTTTATTTATAAATTATTCGAAAATGTCAAGAAGGGAAGATTTGTCCATCCATCCTTACATGTTGAACCCAGAGCTTGAGAAGAATGAAAACAACCAAATTGTAGTTGGTTAATTCAGACCTTAAATGGCAGTTCTGTTGCAAATACTGTGACGTAATAGTTCAGGAAACATCATTAAAAAGAGAGAAAATTGAACTACTGAAATACACAACAAAATGCATTCAACAGCTAAAAAAGTGAGTTTTGCATGACATGTCCCCTTTAAAATGTCACAGTTGTTAAATACGAAGCAGTTCCATTGTGCGGCAGGGCCCCGAGGTTCCATAGCTCCTGTACTTTTAACAAAAACATATTAAGTGAACACCACAAGATGATGCTATTTCCATTTGTCCTTCTTTGATGGACTGGAGATTATGCAGAGCTATTCTCAGCAGTGCTGTACAGAAAATGGATTTTTATCTGGCAACGCAGAGGTGTAATCGAGAGAAAGATGGTCCRCTTAATCACTGGTCTGAATCACTTCTTTTCCAGAGTTCCTGCTGCAATAAGAATTCATGTGTTTACTTGTTTTCCTATAAATATGTGAGTGCCGTGCCGGACTTCTGCAGCTATATTATTTAATAATGAAGAGATGCCAAAATAAAAAGGCAAACAAGCACGTTTTAAAAATTATTTTAACTATACCAATTAATTATTTACATCTTTTTCCAGTTCATCTACCTTGTTTAGGAAATTATGCAACATGTCAGTAAAAAAAGATGCACCCTTCAATAAATTAATTACTTGTGCAGCACAGCAAAAATGAGTCGTGATAAAAATATCTAGATCCACTTTAAGAAATAAAGAAAAATGATCTTGACTAATTTAAAAGAAAACAAAAATACTCGAAGCAACAAACAGCAGAATGGAGATGAAACTTCATAGAAAACAAGTTTTCCTGATTAATGCACTGAAAATGGAGAATTCTATGAAATAAGTCTGTTAATGCAGTTTGTCTGAGCTGTCTCATGCTACTGGAGATCTGTAATGTGTTTAATGGTCGCAAGGACAATCTCCCCTTTCATTACAAGTACCCAATGTGACACTAATCCAGAAATAACAAGGCTCCATTTTCTTCTTCACTACTCCAATTCAGCAGGATGACCCCACATAATTGGTT